GATGGATGGATGGATGGATGGATGGATGGATGGATGGATGGATGGATACTGGAAATAATTATGTCTGTCTGTTAGCACAATACTGTATCATATGAACTACTGTATGGGTGTGAATGAAACTCTCAAGTAACAACTGGCTAAACATCTGTTGGAGTCAGTCCAATTCAAGATGGCCACCAAAGCTAACTAACTATCTTTAGTAAACACAAAAATGACTATAACTGTTTATTTTACAGCCATTAAGCTAAAATTTGGTGTTGTAGTATCTGAGCATCATTCCCAACACATACTCAGAGAGCTACACATTTTACTTATTTTCTAAAATTTTGCCAGTAGCTGTTAGTATCAACCCTGTTTGTCTGTTAGTAAAATAACTCATGAATTACAGGAGAGATTTTAATGAAACTCAGAAAGTAAATATTGGATATACATTAACAACTAAATAACCATGGAGTCAATCCATCATGGGATTCATATACATTAACATGTATACTCTATTTAAAGTAAAACTAGTAGGTTATTTACTCAGCCAGACGTGGGGCGTCTGCTCAGCCTTTCCGCTGCAGGAGGCATTCAGATAACAACAGAGTAGGAAATTCAGCCCAGTGTGTGTGCAGCTCTCCCTGTGTCTCATGCTTTGTCACCTGTGCGCGCGCCAAGGCACACACCTCAGCGCCTGCCTGAAACAAGCAGTGTTTGGGACAGAAACATAATCCGCCTGTAAGCAGCGAGGCCCACTCAGTGTGGCGACCATATTGTGTTTTGGGTAAACTGGTAGCTCTTATTCGTGTGTTGGCTCTGGCTTAGAGTCAAACATACTGGACATGTGAGCGACTCCGCTCAACTTGTTGATTCTCACGATGAGCACACCGAGCAAGTTTTCACCGAAAAGGTGGGTGACGATTTCTGAGCATATCTACACTTAAAAGCTCATTATGTTGCAAATTTTAGGCGAACTGTATTAGATGTAGTTTCTGAACTTGTTTGTCTCTAAAGTACAAACAAACTATTTATAGCCGTCTACAATGGGTTTTTTACCTGACCTGTCAGTTCTATGTGGCGCTCAGGTTTTAAATAAAAAGTAGCATAAGTCCAGAAGGTGTCAGTATAGATTATGGGACTGTCCGTAAAATAAAAACTTCTGTCATCCTAATGTTTTTATCATGATTATCTTGACAAACTCAGCAGGCATCCAGGCAATCATTTGTTCTTTTGTGTATATTTTTATGTGCTTGCATCACTAAAGATATTTACAGTATTTGTTGTGTTCAACATTGGTTTCATGTTTGGACAGGAACGCCTCTAAACACAAACGAGACAGAAAGTTTAGGGAGAGAAAATGCATGTTTCCTCTGCTGATCAAGGTAAGGACTAATAATTATATTCTGATACCTGCAGTGTTGGAAATTACTCAGCTGTTTACAGCGTCTTGGGTGTTTTGGTTTGGTTTTTTGTTGCCAGCTTGACAGCTTGGCAATTACTGTAAATTATAGAGGTCGCTGTGGTTTTGTTGGGTGACATAAGCCCCTAAAGCAACCAAACACCTTGTTTTTATTTACAGACCATAAAACAAATGTTATTTGAGTTATTGTGTGCGCTCAGCAGAAGTGATTTACAAGGGAACATGCTCTGCCCTGTAATGTTCCTGGCGCGCACCAGTGCACCATCTGAGAGTTGCTCTATTCCCGTTTGTTCCCGAGAGCACCCAACCCCCTGCTGCACCCTGAGACCACTTACTGTGAGAGGTCCTCTCCTCTGACACCAAGGTTCACCCATTGAATCTCCGCTTCCTGGAAAGCTCCACAGCTTTCAGCTCAACCGTAAATGGACACATTCTGCAGCAGCAGACTGATTTGGCTCTCCCTTCCTTAAAGGAAGCTCTGGATCCTATAGCACACAGGTGCAAAAAAATGGCTTGAAGGTCAGTAGTGGCCCTTGGTATGTCCTTTCAGCCTCTGGTGTGCTGCAAACAAAATTTAAAGAAATATATACATGAAAAGCAGGGGGTAGGGTGATATAAATTAATCTTGAGGCAAGTGAAAACAAAGTGTAGTTATTAGATGTTTGCAGCAAAGATTTGAATTTGGTACACTAATAAGAATGAGCGAGATTGACAGTGAACAATGGGGGTGTCACCCTTTAGAGATTGGTGCAGTACTGCCTACTGCAGCACAAGGTGGTTGAACTTGCTGTTCTTAATCCCATTTTTACCATTTTTATCCAATTGTTTTTGTATTAGACTCTCAAACATCCTATTAACAAGTGGCCCCTTATCCTCTTTCTTATCCCCTGTTTGGGATAAGAAAAGTGAGCATCTTGAAGCAATAGCCCATTATCGGTTTCATACAAACCTATTGAAAAACGGACTTCATGTTGTATGAGAGCCAGTTCAAATAATTTATTCTCTGCTTCTAAGTTCTATCTTGAGTGTATTTGTGTCATTAAAAAATGCATGCGCAAGCAGCTGCAAATCTGCATACATTATTTAGTACAAGCTCCATCTGCCTTACAAGAGACGGTGCCGTTAAACCGCTTTTATATTATTTTAACCTTTTCATTTGGTTTAAGATACAAAAATTAAAACAAAGAGTAGTTTCTTAAATAATAAATAATAATAATAAAACAAATGGTATGTCAATGTGCCTCGCCGCTGATGAATTTGAATAGTGAATGTTTGTAGTTTTTGAGAAGAGAGTTTTCAGCCCCAGGAATTGAACAGCGAATGCAAGTACGTAGTAAACCTTAATGTTTTTGGTGCAAGATAATAAAATAGGGATAGTTGTTTTTTCTACTTGAGGCAGCTCAGAGTGACGGATCATAACGAGTGGAGGGAGCAATGGTATCCATGACCTGGTGCAATGATGTAGCTAAGGGGGTGGCTATTGGTGACCTTGGCCACCATGGATTAAGTTCTGGTCACCACAAGGGCCACCACAATCATTTGAGGAAAGTATACTTTTAAGCAATAGAAAAAATAGAAAGCTCCACAAATAATTGGGGTGGTCAGTTTACATATTTATATATGGCAGTGGCCATCTTGGATTTTGACGTGGAAACGCCATTGTCTGTGACTTTTTCTGCAACTAGATGCAGCACAACACCAAAAGCGAAATTGGCACATTGCTTATTTTTGACCCTATCGTTCAAGGAAACTTTATTTTTAAACAATAAAAAATAATAGAAAGCAAAATTTTTTACAAATTACCAGGCTGGCTAGTTTACATTATAAGTGGTAGCCATCTTGGATTATGATTTGGCAGTCCAATATTTAATAATGACTTTTTTTATATGTAGATGCAGTCACACATAAGTTGGCACATTGTTTATCAGCACCTGAAAGAAAACTCAGAAATTAAACCCATTTCTCCAAATAAATGTAGGAGTGAGTGTTTGTTTTTGTTATTTTATAACAACAACAAAAAATGTTTCATCTGAATAATTTTTATATTCATTTACTTTTTTTTTAATTGTTTTATGTTATTTTCTACAAAAAATCAACTAACTTTTATGTGGAAGCAATTTATAATAAAATTATACATACAT